TGGAAAATCACATTAGGCCTCAATCGAATAAATGCAGCATGGGGTCAGACGACGGCACAGACGCCCATCATCAGTGGCAGTGGCAAAGTTCAAACCTTGGACTCTGGGTCAGAGCAGAGTAGCGAATTAAGCCACGTGAATATCTTCTTTAAATGAAACGCGAAAATGCGGACAGTTAGCCACAGACGCGTTTAGAAAAGTAAGTGTACACGCTAGATTACAAATTCAAACGTAACACTGATAATTGCATTCGGCAAGTTGAGACTTACCTTTAGCTCTGCCTCGTATCTCATCTCCGTTAAATCATGGAAGGCAAGTTTGCCACCTCGCGCGCCCGAGGAGTCTAAATCGCTTGGCAATGAAGAATCTGCAAGACTAGTATCCTTTCGAGCCCAAGGGCCGGCCACACTATCTTTCGATGGAGTAAGTGAATCAGAAGCATTCCCATCACTGGCGGATTGCATCGCTGCGCTCGTTGAGCTACAAGCAGGATATGAAACGTTTGTTTCTCCATCTGTACGACCGGAAGCTTCATCAGACCGATGATCGGGAGAACAACGTTCACGAGGACGTTTGATATCCATCAAATGAGGTGCCATGGATGGAGGAGTCAAACCGGACGGGACGGCGTAATTGTGATCGTTGTATTTTAGTCCAAAGGAACATATTGTCGGACCAAATGATAAAGACGAATCCCGATACACTGCATCGTAATCTTCCTCGCTGGTGGAAAGTAGTGAAAAAAGTTAGGATAGATATGCACTGGAAAGCTAGGGGTTTAGATGAACTGATTGTCACAAGAAATGACCCGCAGAAAAGTAAAAACAATTGTACTACATATAAGCTAGTAGGAAATACAATACAGAACTCAATGGCGTTGGGCAATGGTGCTTAGGCTATTAGTGATGTGCATTAGTTTGTTAATTTCATGCTGTAAGTCAGACTACTATTGTTATAATTTTACAAGGCGGTGCCAGGACGAGGAGTTATTTATTACCAACAGGGGTAACGGTGTCGGTAAATGGGCATATATACAACAAAATGTCTCATTTGCAACAGGTCTTCAGAATTCCTAGAAGCACACAGGATAATTAGGAAAACGGTCCGACAGTGGATGCGCATTTCTCGTAGTTACCATCTTAAACAAGGTAACTCACTCTAGGAGGTCTTGTTCATTTCCGACCGTTAAGAGAGACAACCAGTCACGTTCTCTTTTTTTATTACACACCCACCTGTGATGAACAGCAGAACCCCAAAGTCACGAGGACTTGCTATTCAGTGGTGGAAACCGGCAATCTAAGCCCCGGGACTTGGAGTGGCGAACCACATAAGGCCCCGAAAGGTTAGGCGTGGTATTGAACCGCAATCCAAACTCACTACTCACTTTGTAGCCACGACAGGGATAAGCTCATTCACTCATCAGTGCGTGCACTACCGTGATAGTTCATCCATCTGTTCAGTTTTAGTTTCTACAACCATTAACTATCACACTATCATGAGCAGTTCCCTTTCGATCGGTTGAATTTTCAGTTTTATTCTTTCAGACGCTAATGATGGTAACAGTCACTGTACCTTGCACAATCCATCTCTAGGTTATTCGATCTGCATAACCCCATTGGGGTCATTATATATATATATATATATATATATATATATATATATATA